GGTTTGAAGCCGTTTTTGATCCGTCGTGGAGTAAACCGGTATAGGGCTGCCATTTCGCACATGGCTTTCCCCTACCTGCAGACAGCTGGATTAGAAGCGGTTTGCCATTTCAGACTGCACTGCTTTTCCCCGCTTTTTCCTGCCGTTTTTCACCCGCACAGGCGATCTCCGGCTTTTTTTTTTTTAACGTTTGCTTTAGAGCGCTACAGCGCTATAACACAACACTCCAGGCATTCCAATGGAGTTGCTATAACGCTGTTTTGTTGTTGTGTTATAGCGCTATAGCGCTCTAAAGCGAACGTTAAAAAAAAAAAGAGCCAGAGATCATCCACATGGGCGAAAAACGGCGGGAAAAAGCGTTTCGGATCCGGGAGAAGAAACTGAAGACTACTTGGAAGAGGTTTACAGGTAAAATGGTTCAGCCCCGTTTCCTGAACGGGACAGAAGCGTTTGTGTGTGAAAGTACAAATATATTCCGGCAGGGAACCGGTTCTAAAACAGTTCTGTCTGAAATGTCAGACCAGAAACCGTTTGGGAACCGTTCCTGAACCAGAATGTATCGCCTGTCTGAAATTCCTCAATGTGTAAGCGTTTGTGGTACCGCAGTGGAAGATCTATTCCACTATACTATGGTTTGTCCTTTATATTCAGACCTAAGATGCAGACTTCTGTCTGGAATTTTAAGCCAACTTTGAAACTTACCCGACAATGAAAAGTTGGTTTTCCTCTTGTCGGATATGTATCCCTTGGTTACTCGCAAGGTAGCGCTTTTTGCGCTTGCAGCCAGAAAAGTTAGATCCGAGGTTGTTTCCTAGAGCTACAAAACTAGTTTTTGTTGTTCAGTCGCACAGTCGAGTCCGACTCTTCGCGACCCCATGGACCAGATCACGCCAGGCCTTCCGGTCTTCCGCCGTCCTCTGAAGTTTGCTCGACTTCATGTTCGTTGCATCTATGACACTATGACAAAACTAGTAGCATAGGTTTTATGGTTTTAAAACTTATTACAGTGGTTTTCCTTGTTGCTGGCTCATATTTCCACTATAATCCTTCCAATGCTAGTTCACAGCAATTCAACAGGTGAAGCTTCCCCCCCTCCCCCCAAAAATAGTTGCCTCTGCATTCCAAGGACACGATCCACCTGCTGAATCTCTGCTTGTTGCACCACTTGGAAAGGTGGAGGAGTCCCGCTGGGGGAACAGCCGTGCTTGCTGTATCGTTGCCGAAAAGGAAGGAAGGAAGGGGGGAAATAATGGCGAAGAAAATCCAGGGTGTACCTACTAGTGACTTGGTGAACCTTCTTGGCCGAAGTGCCGTCCCCCTGGGCGTCCTTGGGGCCTCCAATTCTGCCGCCGAGAAAGACCCCGTTAGTGCACAATCACCGTTCCGCATGAACTTCAAGAACAGATCTCATCAAACAGCAAGCTTATTATTCATACTACGGAAACAATTAACTTTTTTTTTAAGTTCCGGAATTACCTGAATATCATATTAGAGGTGATGAAGATATTGATTACAAGGTTTTTACAACGATTTAATTTTAGTACAGAAGTCTGTTCAGTGGTTAAAGATATAATTTCCTCTATCGTTAATAGATTATCGTTAACTTTAGGAAGGGCTTTTTTTGTATAAAAAGCCCAGCAGGAACTCATTAGCATAATAGGCCACACCCAACAGCAGGAATCCATTAGCCTATTAGGCCACACCCCTGACAGCACAGCTCATTAGCATACTAGGCCACACCCCACATGTTACCAGAAGTGTGGTCATCCAACCACACCCACCTTTTGCTTCTTATTCTGTTTACCTTGTTTGTGGTCAAAACCCAGGGCCTTTTTTTGTAGCAGGAACTCCTTTGCATGTTAGGCCACACACCCCTAATGTAGCCAGTCTTAATGAGGTCCTGCTCTTGGGTGGGGCCTATTATGCTAATGAGTTCCTGCTGGGTGTGGCCAACTCAGGAGCCAGCCGGAACTCCGTTCCTGTGCGTTCCTGCCCAAAAATAGCCCTGAGTCCTTAGGAAAGTTTTTGTCTATTCTTTAAAGAGAGAATTATCGTTAACCTTAGGAAAGTTTTTGTTTATTCTTTAAAGAGAGAACGTATCCCAAAATTTGTAATTCTGTGATATTCAAGTTTTATTGTTTACTCTTATATTTGAAATATGTATTTGGTAACACATCTGATTTTACTTGTTGTACGTAACAATTCATAATACTTTACAAATTTGATGACTCTATATTTCTCCCCTTTTTTCTTTCTGTATCCCACCCTTTTAAGACAAAACAATAAAAATTCATTTGCTAGAACAGAACTTGTCCCGTTCCCCCCCTCCAGCCTTGGGTCCTGACTCGTGTCATTATTACAAATAGTGTCGTTCTTTATTAAGTGGATTTTCCTTCACCCTGTTTTTCTGTTAAAATAACATCCAAGGCCGTTTGCGGATTAAGAACAGGAACAAAACAACAATCCATATGAATATTATAAATTAGAACTGGCAAGGGGAAAAACTCCCACAATAACAATTTAAAAGAAACAGTATGTCATTTCAATGTTAAAACCACAACTGAACAAGCTAGCCTTCACCTAATTTATCACAATGATAGAGCTTAGGGCAGTATGCATGATACACCGTTCTCTCCTTACAACAACCCTGTGAAGTAGGTACGGCTGCGTTAGAGAAAGAACAACTGGCCCAAATTTGCCCTATAGTCGCTCTCAAGGGGTGCGTGTCTCCTATCTACAAAGCTTGAAACTTAAACTCCTATGTGTGGTGCATTTCTGGATTGCTCACAATAAATTCTGCACATGTCTATATACATTTATTTATCGTTTGTTTGTATTTATACCCCGCCTTGCCTGACAAGCAGGCTCAAGGCGGCTAACAGATTAAATAACATAACAAGAAGTTAAAACAATTAATAAATACGATATCAGTTAAAACAAGTGAGCAACAACAATTACAGTACCAACTATGGCGGTAATCCAACCAATCCCTATCTAGGGGTAGGAACCAGCGGGGACTCTAGCCAGGAGATGGTCTAAGTTCGGCCAGAAGATGTTCCAGGGCACACCACTCAGTGGCGACCCCTAATCGAACGCCTGGCGGAAGAGCTCTGTTTTACAGGCCCTGCGGAACTGTGAGAGGTCCCACAGGGCCCTGATGTTCTCGGGGGGCTCGTTCCACCAGTGTGGGGCCGCCACCGAGAAAGCCCTGGTTCTAGTAGTATTCAGCCTGGCTTCTTTCGGATCTGGGAGGGTCAATCGGCGTTGCAACCCTGACCTCAGTGCTTTCTGGGGCTCATATGGGGAGAGGCGGTCCCTCAAGGAGGCATATATGACTACTTTGCACATTCTTGGCATGAAAAATGATCCAACCCACCTCTGGACTCTGGAGGGAGGGGCAAAGACTCCATGCTTCGGGGGGCAGGTGAAATAGCGGACGCCAAAGACAGAGCCGTCGTGCTTCCCCGTGGGTTTGTCGAGTTCGATACCAAACCAGTAGCCTGGGAAGACAGGAAAGGCGAAAAGAAGGGAAAGGGCTCAGAAATGTCAGAATGTCTGCGGTCCAGTCTCTGTGAGGGAAGAGAGAGTTGTCAGTCTGGGCTTTCTTTCTGGGGGAACGCGCCGGAACCGAGTTCGGTAACCTCTTCAACAAAATTCTTTTTTAAATGTTTCAAAGTTCATGGGTTTTCAGTATACAGATTGAAATCTTCATTTGCCTCTTCAGAGTTCTGGCACCTCTTTTTTTAATTAAAAAAGAAAAGTCGAATTGTCAGCCAAAGATGGGAGTCCCTGTTTCCTGGGGCAGGCCGAAGACTGGGAAGAGGTCCCAGAACATAGAAAAAGTTAGGCAGCAACTCCAACTTGGGAAATTCCTGGAGATTTGGGTTCCGTGTCAGAACAGAGTGGAGCTTGGGGTTGGGTGAAGCTCAGTAGGGATATGGCGAGAAGAGGAGACTGGATTTATACCCCCGCCCTTCACTACCGGAAGGAGTCTCAGACCGGCTCACAATCTCCTTTCCCTTCCCCTCCCCACCAATGTTCCCTCTAAGTGGTAGAATCTTGTGAGCAGAATTTCTACTTTGTGAGCTACTGGCATTAAAGTTGTGAGCAAGGGATTTGGCTGCTGCATAAATTAGTTCGCTCTGGAGCCATCTTTCCTGAGCTAAGACAAAAATGTGTGAGCAGGAGGCTAAAAAACTGTGCGCTAGCTCACACTAACTCACTGCTCCCTACAACAGTGTAGGGAACACTGCTCCCTACAACAGACACCCTGTGAGGTCGGTGGGGCTGAGAGAGCTCTCTCGAGGACTGCTGGCGAGAGAACAGCTCCGAGGGAACTTGTGACTGACCCAAGGTCCCACCAGCAGCTGCATGTGAGGGGGTGGGGAATCAAACCCGGTTCTCCCAGATTAGAGTCTGCGCTCCTCACCACTACACCAGACTGGCTGTCACTCTGGGACTTCCATTTTTCCTAGACTCTATGGTATCCCTCCCAAGCCAGCCTCCAAAGCTGTCATTTACTCCGGAGGAATTGAGCTCTGTAGTCTGGAGATTAGCTGTTATTTCAGGAAAGCTCCGGACCACACCTGACCAGGGGGGAAACGAAGAAGGTTTTATAGCAATAAGAGCCAAGAAGATGTGGCAGGCCAAGAACCGAATTCTCATTTTCAGTTGAGCCATGTTGCCTGTTCCGTTACTAACTCATAGTGCTTGCAAAGCAATTTCGATTATGTAGACAGCATTAAATCCCTTTGCTTTTAATGGGGAATTACTCCTAGATTAGTATGCTTAAAATGGTGGCTTTTGCTCTGCAGGATCCTTAGAAATCTCAGTCATTGTTTTTACCTCACACCAGCCCTATGAGGTAGGCCACTACTACTCCTGATGTAAACGAGTGGAGAGAAGAATAACTTGCCACAAAACATAAATTTAATGCCTTTAACATTTTAAATAGATGGCATCTTACACCCGCACGGATTTCTCAATACGATAATAGCATGAAAAAAAAACGTGTTGGAAGAGCTGTGGCTATACGGAGATTATTTACATTGGTTGCCCTGTGGTTAAGAAATTCTGGAATCAGGTACTTCCACAAACAGAAGAAAGCTCAGGTATGACAATCCCTCGACAACCTGAAGTAATCCTTCTGGAAACAGGCCCACTGAGTCACTTAGATAAATCTAAACAAACCATGATAGCAACTCTATTGTCGATTGCTAAAATAGCAAGGAAATGGAGAAAAGCACCAGGCCCCTCTTTAATAAACTGGTACAATGGTACATGGACTCAATTTGTTTTGGGGAAATTAGACCAACGCAGAGTTCCCTCTAAGCTGAGTTAGTGTGAGCTAGCTCACAGTTTCTTAGCCTCCGGCTCACACATTTTTGTCTTGGCTCAGGAAGGAGGGCTCCAGAGCAAACTAATTTATGCAGCAGCCAAATCGCTCGCCCACAACTTTAAGGCCAGTAGCTCACAAAGTAGAATTGTTGCTCACAAGACTCCACAGCTTAGAGGGAACGTTTATCCTCGAGACCGCAGAACTTTAGATGCTTATTATAAAAACTTTCAAGCGAGCTGGTTCCCGATCATACAGTTTCTTCTAGAAAAGGAAATTATGCCATCCAATCTTCTGGTGTAGTGGTGAAGTGCGCGGACTCTAATCTGGGAGAACCGGGTTTGATTCCCCGCTCCTCCACTTGCACCTGGCTGGATGACCTTGGGCAAGCCATAGTTCTGACAAGAGCTGTCCTTGAAAAAGAGCAGTTTCTGTCAGAGCTCCCTCAGCCCCACCTGTCTCACAGGGTGTCTGTTGTGGGGAGTGGAAGGGGAAGGAGTTTGTTAGCCGCTCTGAGACGCCTTCGGGTAGTGAAGGGCGGGGTATAAATCCAATCTCCTCCTCCTCCTCCTCTTCTTCTTCTTCTTGTTTTGTGAGCTACTTTATTTTTAAAGAAGGCTTTTAGAAAATATAAGAGTAGTTGTGTAGTTTCTTAGGTAAATTTTGTTGTCACTATTGTACTGCAATGGGATTTGTATGATCACACTGGTCTTATTTATCGTATTGCTTTTGTTTGATATTTTAATTCAAAAAAATTAAAAACCCCATAAAAGTAAGTCCGTGGCAGGGTCAGGACTTGAACTTGGGACTTCCGGATCCAGCCCTCTAAACCACTGGTCCCGAGGTCTCCTTCTCAAAAGCAGCCGTCAAAATCCATTCTGTCAGCTCCTTCTCACTTCGTAGTTGGTAACAACACCTCCCAGGTACTTGGATACCCATTTCCATCCCGCTTTCTTACCTGGTGCAAAGTCCGTCTTCCCGTAGAAGCGGATGATACCCTGTTTCTGACCCGCCACCATGACCTGGTCCCCAATTTCGATCTTCAACCCTTCGCGGTCCAGGCTGCCAACGGACAAGGACTTCTTCCTGAGAGCTGAGGGAAGGGATGGGGGACAGAACTGAGATCTACGGCAAATAACCGCTGCTCCAGGAGAGCCGATTTCGGTCAGACATTAGGAGAAATATCTGAACGGCAAGTGCCGCTTGACCTGGAAGGCAGTTCGGCTGTCCCTGTAGAGCCACCTGTGAGGGATGTCTTATCTATCCAGCACATTTATATCCTAAGGAACTCACATGACTCTCGCTTCCCCATTTTATCCTCACGAGAATCCAGTGAGGTTTACTAGTAAAGGTAAAGGTTCCCTTGCTCGAAAGCCAGTCGAGTCCGACTCTAGGGTTGCGGTGCTCATCTCCGTTTCCAAGCCGAAGAGCCAGCACTGTCCGCAGACGTTTCCGTGGTCATGTGGCCGGCATGACTAAACACCGAGGCGCACGGAACGCTGTTCCCTTCCCACCGAAGTGGTACCTATTTATCGACTTGCAATTTCTTGCTTTCGAACTGCTAGGTTGGCAGGAGCTGGAACTAGAGGCGGGAGCTCACTCCGTCATGGGGCACACTCGGGTCTCGACCTGCTGACCCGCCGACCTTCCACAGCCTGCAGTTCAGCGTCTTAACCACTTGAGCCACCACAGCTCCACTAGGTTTACTAGGCTGAGAGAAAATGACAGGCCCGAGGTCGCCCAGCAACCTTTATGGCTGGGTGGGGATTTGAACTGAGGTCTTTCAGCTCCTGGTCCAACACTGTAACCCCTACACTGTACCAGGCCCTGAGCTCTGGACTTTGACAGGCTGGAAAACTGGGCTAAAACAAATAAAACGAATTACAGTGGGGATAAATGTAAAGTTCTGCATTTAGGTGGGGAAAACCAAAAGCACCGCCATTTAAGGAGGATATAGACAAGCTAGAACGTGTCCAGAGGAGGGCAACGAAGATGGCGAGGGGTCTGGAGACCAAGTCCTGTGAGGAAAGGTTGAAGGAGCTGGGTATGTTTCGCCTCGAGGGGAGATGACTGGGAGGTGATAGGAATCAGGGGTCATTTCCTGCGGGAGCGCACAGGAGCGGAGCTCCGGCAGTAAGGAGCCCAGGGGGCGGGCACATGCAACAAGCCCTGCCCCCTGCTCCCAGCAGCCCTCAGTTGGGCCACAAGGAGCAAGAAGCAACCAGGTAAGTTGCAGAGCCCCCCCCCACCCGGCCTGCCTTCAGGTACAAGCTCTCCCTCCTCTGTGAGGGCAGATCTGCGCATCCCCCCCCCCATAGCTAGCAATCCAAAACAGTCTAGTGGCACCTTTAAGACCAAGTTTTATTCAGGTACAAGCTCTCCCTCCTCTGTGAGGGCAGATCTGCAGATTCCCCCCCCCCCCAATAGCTAGGAATCCAAAACAGTCCAGTGGAGCCTGAGTGGTGGGTGTTGCCTTCTGACACACTCCCGGTGATGTCAGGGGGTGTGGCATATGCAAATAAGGTATGCTAATGAGTTATGCTAATGAGCTCCTGCACCTCTTTTTCTACGAAATGACCCCTGGATACGAAATGACCCCTGGATAGGATAACCATCTTCAAGTACTTGAAGGGCTGTCATATAGAGGATGGTGTGGAGTTGTTTTCTGTTGCCCCAGAAGGTCGGACCAGAACCAACGGGTTGAAATGAAATCCGAAGAGTTTTCGGCTAAACGTTAGGAAGAAGATCCTGACAGCCAGATCAGTGGAACAGGCTTCCTCGGGAGGTGGCGGGCTCTCCTCCTTTGGAGGTTTTCAGAAAGAGGCTAGATGGCCATCTGTCAGCAATGCTGATTCTGTGAACTTAGGCAGATCGTGAGAGGGAGGGCAGGAAGGGTTGCCTCAGTGCTTAGTTCTTGTGGCCCTTTCTTACACGCCCAGGGAAATGCTGATCGCCACTTTGGGGTCAGGAAGCAATTGTTCTCCAGGCCAGTTTGGTCGGAGATGCTGGAGGTTTTTTGCCACCTTCTGGACATGAAACATGGCTCACTGGGTGTGTTTGGGGGGCAGAGGTATTTGTGAATTTCCCGCCTTGTGCAGGGGGTTGGGCTAGATGACCCCGTGGATCCCTTCCAACTCTATGATTCTATTTTTTTCCCCCACTTTGAGAAGGAAGGTGGATTATCTCGCTTACGGGGCACCTTCCAGTTCTGTAATTCTGCGATTCTTTGTTTGAGCTGAGATGGACTTATTAGGTATACATATAATTATTCAGTGGGTATCTTCCCACCCTCCTTCCTTAACCCCGCGATGAGCTGGGAATCCTGGCTCCCATGTCTGTGTCCAAAAGCCCCCCCCCCCTTTACCTTTCTTGTCTTTGTCCTTTTCTTTGCGGCCCTTTGCAGTCATGCGGGAGAAGTCCACCCGGGGGGTACGGGGGGTCGAGGTCACTGAAGACGGCGTCTGGTCAGTGCCTTTGGTGATCTTGGACACTGAAGCAAAGACGCCTGCAGAAGCAAGTGAGGAAAGAACGGCAAAGCCTGATAAGAACCATGCAAGCTTTGGTAGATTTCTGCAGATTTAATGCCTCACGTTGGCTTCTGTGGAAAGAAGGCAGGATTTAAGAACACAAGAGCATAAGAACAGCCCAGCTGGATCAGACCAGTGAGGGTCCATCTAGTCCAGCCTCCCGTCTCACACAGGGGCCAGCCAGTTCCTCTGGAGGGCCAACAAACAGGGCAGAGAGGCCGAGGCCTTCCCCTGAGAAGAACCTCAGAAGAGCCCTGCTGGATCAGACCAGGGAGGGTCCGTCTAGTCCAGCCTCCCGTCTCACACAGGGGCCAACCAGTTCCTCTGGAGGGCCAACAACAGGGCACAAGAGGCCGAGGACTTCCCCTGAGAAGAGCATCAGAAGAGTCCTGCTGGATCAGACCAGTGAGGGTCCATCTAGTCCATCCTCCCGTCTCACACAGGGGCCAGCCAGTTCCTCTGGAGGGCCCACAACAGGGCGGAGAGGCCGAGGCCTTCCCCTGAGGTTGCCTCCTGGCCGTGGGATTCAGAGGTTGACTGCCTCTGAACATGGAGGTTCCCTTTAGTTCCTATTGGCTATCAGCCACTGGTTCTCCTCTATGAATCTATCTAATCCCCTTTAAAGCTGTTTATTCCTGTGGCCATCAGTACATCCTCCGGCGGAGAATTCCACCTTTTAATCCCTCTCTGCGTAAAGTGGTGTTTCCTTCTGTCCGTCCTGAACCTACTGCCCATCAGCTTCATTGGATTGCCCTCGAGTTCTAGCATTTGGGGAGAGGGAGAAAAAGTTCTCTTTGTCAACTCTCTCCACCCCATATATAATTTTATAAACCTTTATCGTGTGTGTCCCCCCCATCCCTTTTCTCAACTGAAAAGTCTTAGACTCTTCAGCCGTTTCTCCTAGGGAAGGGGCTCCACCCCCCTCATCATCTTGTTCGCTCTCATCTGTGCTTTTCCCAGCTCTGCCATGTCCTTTTGGAGATACGGTGTCCAGAACGGCACACAGTATTCCAAACGAGGCCATACCACAGATCTATAAGGGGTAATACAATATAGGCCGTTTTACTAACCGTCCCATTATTCCTAATAATCCCCAATATAAAGTTTGCCTTTCGCATGTGTGTCATGATCTGTGCAGGACTGGGAGCAAGGCCTAGTGCGGCCTGGTCCCAGGCGAGACCTGCATGGCAGTAGAAAGCGGACAGCCTACAGTCCCCATAATGCATAGCTAGGGTTGTAGCCAATCGGTTTCCGGAGATTCTGTGAGGAGATTCTGACTTAAGCTGCTAACTGTGGAAATTGTGGTCTCGTTATCTTATGGACTCTGTCTCAGTTCAAATAGGTTCCAATGCTCACTCGTCATTACACTCCACATTCACTGCAAAATGGTACCCAGTTATAGACTTTTGGTCCCAACAATTTATCCCATCTGAATGGTCTCAACTTCATAAATGGTTATGAAAATTATAAATTACATATTCTAAATTATCGTTTAGGTAGATTAATTCATTGTCGTGTGACACTCAACCTTGCATTTTGTTAAAAAAATGCACAAGTTTTTGTAAAAGTTATAGCTTTTGAACATGGTTCTAAGTATTGTATTGGCTCTGCTACTATGCTTTTATAGTAGTATCTAGTATGAAGGTTAAAGGTTTTCTATTCTGTATTTCTGTAAAAATTGTGGATTATTTGCTATAAAACTCCAATAAAGTGTTTATTTTAAAAAAAACTGTGGAAAATGGTGTCCTTTCCTCTCACAGAGCTAAACTGAAGGGGACGGTGTTCTTTCATCTCTCATCTGCGGTCTGGTCTCACAGAGCGGACAGGCTGGTCTGGTGAGAGAAAAAGATCCCTCACTTGGCTGAGAGTGAGTACAGGTAGCATAGCCTGGCAGGCTGTGGGCCTGGAAGTAGTAACCAGCTAAGCGAACTAGGTAGTCGTGTTAGATTTGGTTATTTTTGCCTTTAAACACTGTTTTATATTTTAAAGCACCTTGTCTTATTTTCCTTGTCCCAGTACTGTGTTAATAAACCATTTGTTTAAGTGTTCTCTGCCTGGTCATCATGCCCAGAGGTCATTTCCTGCGGGAGCGCACAGGAGTGGAGCTCCGGCAGTAAAGGACCCAGGGGGTGGGCACATGCAACAAGCCCCACCCCCTGCTCCGAACAGCCCTCAGTCAGAGCAAGAAGCAGCCAGGTAAGTTGCAGAACGCCCCCCCCCCGGCCCCCTGTTCTAAAACAGTCCAGTGGCACCTTTAAGACCAAGTTTTATTCAGGTACAAGCTCCCCCTCCTCTGTGAGGACAGATCTGCATGTCCCCACCACCACCAATAGCTAGCCATCCAAAACAGTCCTATGGAGCCTGAGCGGTGAATGTTGCCTTCTGACACACTTCTGATGATGTCAGGGGGTGTGGCATATGCAAATGAGTTGTGCTAATGAGCTCCTGCACCTCTTTTTCTACGAAATGACCCCCGATCACGCCTACGTTCTTGGCTTAAAAGAGGGCATTTTGGATGGGCTTGGGAGGGTACCCTGGGCCTTCCCAAGGGACCCGAAGTCCAGGGTGGTGGTAGCGGAAGGTGGCGACCCTAGGGGTCATGACAATGTGTGAAATCAGTGCTAAAAGCCTCCGCGATGTACTGAGTTCTCCTACCATGCTTCGGAGGGCAGATAAAGTAACGGATTCCTCCCACGCTGCCGTCATTCTTGCCGTCCGGCTCGTCCAGCTCCACGCCGATCCACTGGCCGCTGGCAAACTCTGTCGTGCCGCAGAAACGCAAAGTGCCCACCTGCGGAACCGGAGGAGGGTTTAGAGCGTGGTTCCCCAACGCGGTGCCCAAGAGCAGGCCGTTGTAAGTCTGGGCTTGATCTGGGGCTCCCCCTCATTCAGACGAAAGCATTTCCCACTGGAGGATGAGGAGACCCGGTAAACACCTGAGCTTTCCTGAGTCATTGCGTGCAGTTCCGTTCTCCCTTCGGGGTCTCCTCCTTCCCAGAAGGCGTGAGAAAGGAGGCACGTATTTATTGGATTCATTTTTATCCTGCCTTTCCCCACAAAGGGGACCCAAAGCGGCTTACGTCCTCCTCCTCCTCCTGTTTTATCCTCACAACCAGGGCCGGCTCACTCACTAGGCGAACTAGGCATTCGCCTAGAGCGGGCTGGCCCTTAGGGGTGCCAAACTGCACCCGCCCCCCCTGCCAAAAGCCCTGCATGCATCTAGTCCCTGACTAGGGAACTGCCGCCGCAAGGGGACAGGGCACACGCTGCTGGGGGGGTCCCAGGCCCCCCGGGGGAAGGAGAGATGGGGGGAAGTGGGTGGGAGGGAAAGAAAAAGCAGAAGGGCTGTCCTCCGAAGAGCCTTGTAGCCCCCTCTCCCCCCCACGCACCCAGCTTAGCACCCGGCTTGAGTGCTGGAGAAGCACGCGGCGGTGGGGGGGAGACACAAGGCAGCCTCACCTGGGGGGGCGCTAGTTTCACCTAGGGTGCCGAAAAACCTTGGGCCGGCCCTGCTCACAACAACCTTGTGAGGAAGGTTAGACTGAGAGGGGGTGACCGGCCCCTAAGTTCACCCAGTGAGCTTCCGTGGCACACATGGGGATTCGAACCCAGATCTTCCAGGTACTAGCCCGACACGCTTAACCACCACAGCACACCGGCTCTCCAATAGGCCACTGGCCTCTGCCTCCTGAGGAAGCCATTGCGGGGTGGCCTTCACCACTAGGGTTGCCAATCCCCAGTTGGGGGCCGGGGATCCCCTGGTTTGGACGCCCTCCCCGCTTCAAGGTCATCAGAAAGTGGGGGAGGAGATGTCCGCCAGGCGCTCCATTATACCCTATGGAGAACGATCCCCGTAGGGTATAATGGAGAATCAATCTGTGGGTATTGGGGGGGGAGCTGTTTTAGGTAGAGGCACCAAATTCTCAGCATAGTGTCCGGCGCCTCACCTCAAAACCCCTGCCAAGTTTCAAAAAGATTGGACCAGGGGGTCCAGTTCTAAGAGCCCCCAAAGGACGTGCCCCCGTCCTCTGTTATTTCCAATGGAGGGAAGGCCTTATTTCCAATGGAGGGTCCCTTTAAATGTGACAGCCAGAACTCCATTTGGAGTTTAATCATCCTTCTTCCCTCCCCTCTCCCAGAAAGTCCCCCGCCGGCATGTCAGCCTCACGTGGCAACCCTAAATGGTACCCCTCCGTGTGGCTTGGGTGGAGAATGAGCAACCACCGTTAGAAGCACAAGTTCCTTCCATGGAATCCCAGGAACCTTCTGGATATGGGGGGGGTGGACCTGGAGGTGACCTCACAGGATGTGACCTCACAGGATGTGAAATCACAGGATGTGACCTCACAGGATGTGACATCACAAGGGCAGCCCCAAATCACACATCACCAGTCCACCAGGACCACCCTGGAGCCATCCCAGCTAGAACCGGCCTGGTCCTCACCTTCTGCCCGTCCACGATAACTCGGTCACCGAGCTTGAGGCCGAGCGAGATGAGCATGAGGTTGCCGGGGATGTTGTCGTAGTTGGGCAGCGTGACCTTGGGGAGGTTGCAGCTCAGCGGCACGGCGTCCAGCAACAACTGCTTCAGCTCCTTGGCGACCATGGCGGCCTCGGCCTTATCCAGGGTCATGTCCATCGGGTCCGGCACAACGTCCGCCGGGACCTGGCCTTTGCTGTTCTGTTGGGAAGAGGGTGGACACAGGGAAGTCACTGGACCGGGGGGGGGCAAAGAATCCCAGAGATGTTGCAGTAGATAAGAACTTAAGAACATCAGAAGAGCCCTGCTGGATCAGACCCGTGAGGGTCCATCTAGTCCAGCATCCTGTCTCACACAGGGGCCAGCCAGTTCCTCCGGAGGGCCAAGAACAGGGCAGAGAGGCTGAGGCCTTCCCATGTTAAGAATAAGAGCCCTGCGTGGATCAGACCAGTGGTCCACCTAGTCCAGAATCCTGTCTCACACAGCAGCTGACCAGTTCCTCTGGAGTGCCAACAAACAGGGCATAGAGGCTGAGGCCTTCATAAGAACATCAGAAGAGCCCTGCTGGGTCAGACCAGTGAGGGTCCACCTGGTCCAGCATCCTGTCCCACACACCAGCCAACCAGTTCCTCCGGAGGGCCAACAACAGGGCAGAGAGGCAGAGGCCTTCATAAGAATCTAAGAAGGGCCCTGCTGGATCAGACCAGTGGTCCATATAGTCCAGCATCCTGTCTCACACAGTGGCCAGCCAGTTCCTCTGGAGGGTCAACAACAGGGCACAGAGGCCGAAGCCTTCATAAGAACATCAGAAGAGCCCCGCTGGGTCAGACCAGTGGTCCATATAGTCCAGCATCCTATCTCACACAATGGCCAACCAGTTCCTCTGGAGGGCCAACAACAGGGCATGGAGGCCAAGGCCTTCATAAGAACATCAGAAGAGCCCCGCTGGGTCAGACCAGTGGTCCATATAGTCCAGCATCCTATCTCACACAATGGCCAGCCAGTCCCTCTGGAGGGCCAACAACAGGGCAGTGAGGCCGAGGCCTTCATAAGAACATCAGAAGAGCCCTGCTGGATCAGACCACGGGTCCCTCTAGTCCAGCATCCTGTCTCACACAGCGGCCGACCAGTTCCTCTGGAGTGCCAACAAACAGGGCATAGAGACCAAGGCCTTCCCCTGGTGTTGCCTCCTGGCTCTGGGATTCAGAGGATTAGTGCTTCTGAATGGGGAGGTTTCCCTCAGTCACCATGGCTAGTAGCCTTTGATAGACTGATCCTCCATGAATCTATGTGATTTCCTTTTAAAGCTGTTTATTCCTGTGGCCATCACAACATCCTCTGATATTATTCCCAACCAGTGTTCCCTCTAAGACAGTGATGGCGAGCCTTTTAGAGACCGAGTGCCCAAACTGCGACCCCAAACCCACTTATTGATCGCAAAGTGCCAACACGGCCATTTAACCTGAATACTGAGGTTGTACTTTAGAAAAAACAACTCACACCTTAACTTAAGATGATCCAAACAAAGGAAGGAAAGCGATCCCAGATGCTTTCATTTACTTAAAATTATTTGGCAGAGAATTCGACACTTTAATGATGGTCTGGGCCTGGCTGGGGCGATGGCATGCGTGCCCACAGAGAGGGCTCTGAGTGCCGCCTCTGGCACCCGTGCCATAGGTTCGCCACCACTGCTCTAAGATGAGTCAGTGTGAGCTAGCCGACAGGTTTTTTAGCCTCCGGCTCACACATTTTTGTCTCGGCTCAGGAAGGATGGGGCTCCAGAGCCAACTAATTGATGCAGTAGCCAAATCGCTCGCTCCCAACACAAAGTAGAATTTTTCCTCACAAGACTCCACAGCTCAGAGGGAGCATTGCTCTCAATCCTACCATAATGGGTGGCTCAGTGGCAAAGCACCTGCCCTGCGTGCAGCAGGTCTCGGGTTCAATTCTTGGTATCCCCACTTATGAGCAGGGCTATTTTTGGGCAGGAACGCACAGGAACGGAGTTCCGGCTGGCTCCCCAGTTGGCCACGCCCAGCAGGAACTCATTAGCATAATAGGCCACACCCAACGGCAGAAACTCATTAGGACTGGCTACATTAGGGGTGTGTGGCCTAACAGGCAAAGGAGTTCCTGCTCCAAAAAAAGCCCTGGGTTTTGACCACAAACAAGGTAAACAGAATAAGAAGGAAAAGGTGGGTGTGGCTGGATGACCACACTTCTGGTAACATGTGGGTGTGGCCTATTGTGCTAATGAGTGGTGCGGTCAGGGGTGTGGCCTAATATGCTAATGAGTTTCTGCTACTGGGTGTGGCCTATTATGCTAATGAGTTCCTGCTGGACTTTTTCTACCAAAAAAGCCCTGCTTATGAGGATAGTTGGGGCTACCTTGAAGAGTGTTTGGAAGCTGCAGCTAGTACAGAACAGTGTAGCTAGACTGCTAGACTGGTCCAGCTATTGGGACCGTATGTCCCGGATACTACGGCAAGTACACCAGTGACCGAACCCATCCCGAGCCCAATTCAAGTGGTTGGGTTTGACCTGTGGAGCCCTACATGAGTTGGGACTGGGGTATCTGAAAGACCCTCTTCTCCCTCATGCGGTCTAGATAGCTGGACTTTCAGCCCCTCCATGGTACGTGCGTCTCCCTGGACACTGGAGAGCGGCGCTACGTCGCTCTAGTAAAGGTCAAGGTTTCCCTTGCACGAAAGCCAGTCGAATCCGACTCTAGGGGGCGGTGTTCATCTCCCGTTTCCAAGCTGAAGAGCCAGCACTGTCCGAAGACTTCCTCTGTGGTCATGTGGCCGGCATGACTAGACGCCGAGGCGCACGGAGCGCTGTTACCTTCCCACCAAAGCAGTACCTACTTATCGACTTGCAATGTCTTGCTTTCGAACTGCTAGGTTGGCAGGAGCTGGAACTAGAGACGGGAGCTCACTCTGTCAAGCGGCACTCGGGTCTCGAACTGCTGAACTACCAACCTTGTGGTCAGCAGTTCAGTTTCTTAACCTCTGAGCCACCGCATGCTGCCCTCTGACCCCTCCTGTCTCTCCCTTTCTCCTCTCCCTCACTTAACAATGGCCTTCCACGTAGAGAGATGTCTCTGCAGGTCTCTCCTGTAGAGACGATGCCCTCATATTCCCAAACGTATGATGACAGACAAGCTGGCCCTTTGGGATAGGGGGAAGGACTCTTTAGATTGGGCTTCTCTCTCTGCTTTTGACTGCAACCTGAAGGTGAACTGGATCCAGAGGTCATTTCGGGGGGGAACGCGGGGGAACGCAGTTCCCCTGGGTGAGGTGCAGGGGGGCGGGGCACACAACGAAGGCCCGCCCCCTTCTTCCGGCCGCCCCCTTCTTCCAGCCTCATTCTGTTGCAGAAGGAGGAAGAAGCAGGAGGGGAAGTTGGCGTCCTCCCCCTCTGCCTGGCCGAGGCCACTTCACGTGGCCTCCGCAAGGACTCCCAGCCCCATCCAGGAGCTTCCCCGAGGTAGCTGTGTTAGTCTGTTGCTGCAAAATAGTCCAAGAGTTCAAATAGCACCTTTAAGACTAACAAATAGCACCTTTAAGACTAACCTTTAAGACTAAGACTAACTGAGTGGTGGGTGTGGCCTCATGACACACTTCCGGTGATGTCAGGGGGTGTGGCATATGCTAATGAGTTATGCTAATGAGTTCCCCTAGCTCTTTTTCTACAAAACGACCCCTGACTGGATCTACTCGGATAAATGTACATTTACCGTTTTTTGCAATAGACTTCTTGGGAGATTTAGTTACTGTACTCAGTATCTCACGTCTACGACTGGGCAAATCTCTGCTATATTAACCAAATCTCCCAACAATGGAAAGGTAAGAAGAACTTTTAAAACTTTTAAAATGATTATTAGATACCTGGGTCCCACACAATTGACTCAGTTTGGCTCCCAGCCTCCGTTAACATCCAAATAATTATTAAATGACATAAAAATAGGGCATCAACAACAGCAGTACAAATACTGTCCATCAAAACCTTTGCCTTTTGCTATACACGTTTGGGGAGACTTATTTACTGCACTGAGTATCACTCTTCTACGACTGGGCGAAACTCTGCTCTGGTAACCAAATGCCCCAATACTCCCAACCTCTCGCTCCTCCACGTCCCCTCCCGTACTCACCCTGACAGCGGGGTTGGCTCCGTGTTCCAGGAGACACTTCACGGCTCCGAGACACAGATTGGAAGCGGCAATATGGAGAGCCGTCCCGTGGTTGAAATCGCTGCACATCGAGTTGAGAACTTAAGGGGGAAAACATATACAGGCCGAGAAGGCATGAAAATCAGGCGGCAAGTATCCATTGCCTTCCCCACTCACAGAGGCTAGGCACCAGTGTTCCCTCTGAGTTGAGTGAGTGTGAGCTAGCTCAGTTTGTTAGCCTCCGGCTCACACATTTTTGTCTCCGCTCAGGAAGGAGGGCTCCAGAGCAAACTGATTTATGCAGGAGCTAAACTGCTCGCTCACAACTTTAAGGCCAGTTGCTCACAAAGCAGGATTTTTGCTCACAAGATTCCACAGCTTAGAGGGAACATTGCTGTGAGCAGTGTTCCCTCTAAGCTGAGTGAGTGTGAGCTAGCTCACAAGTTTGTTAGCCTCCGGCTCACACATTTTTGTCTCCGCTCAGGAAGGAAGGCTCCGGAGCAAACATAATTGTTGCAGTGGCCAAATCGCTCGCTCTCAGAACCTAAAAAGGTTAGTCAAGAATAGAAGAGGGCCAACTCTAAAAATCTAATTATGAAACATACAAAAATATACATGTATTTATTCAACATAAATTAAAATAACAAACAAGGGCCCATTCATACCTCATATACAAATATAAAGTAGGGGGGGGGGGGGAGAAAAAGAACTAACAAATGAATTATGGGAATGGACCAAGAGAGAGTTTGGTGTTAGCGGAGACGCGGGTACGGCGAGGTTCAGGTATGATCTGGTGTGGTAGGAAGTAGCACAGCAACTGTTTGCTGATGAGGAGCCAGTTCTAGGAACTCGTGGCGTTTTCCTAATATCGACAAACAAATATATAGGCGGAGCAGGTGGGAAGCAGGCAGGCAGCGCTGATGCGGCACACGTCCAAGAGCCCAATGCGCTAAAGACTAACAAAATTGGTGGCGGGGAGAAGCTTTCGTGAGTCACTGCTCACTTCTTCAGATACCTGAGTTATCTGAAGAAGTGGGCAGTGACTCACGAAAGTTCCCCCCCCGCCACAATTTTTGTTACGTCTTTAAGATGCTACTGGACTCGTGCTCTTTTTCTACTGCTACGGACAGATTAACACAATGGCCCACCTTGATCTGTGCTAAAGACTGCAAGCCAGTGTGGTGTAGTGCGTCTACCAGGACTTGTGAAGCTCACTGGGTAAGTAACTTGGGAAATAATAATACTAACTAACAGTGCCAGGGCTATTTTTGGGCAGGAACGCACAGGAACGGAGTTCCGGCTGGCTCCCGAGTTGGCCACGCCCAGCAGGAACTCATTAGCATAATAGGCCACACCCAACAGCAGAAACTCATTAGGATTGGCTACATTAGGGGTGTGTGGCCTAACATGCAAAGGAGTTCCTGCTACAAAAAAAGGCCCTGGGTTTTGACAACAGACAAGGTAAACAGAATAACAAGCAAAAGGTGGGTGTGGCTGGATATCCACACTTCTGGTAACATGGGGGTGTGTCCTAATGTGCTAATGAGCTGTGCTGGCAGGGGTGTGGCCTAATATGCTAATGAGGTTCTGGTGTTGGGTG